CAAAAATGGTCAAAGAGGTGGTGCGTGGGTGGAGCTGATACAGGTTGAATGAAGCCCGGTTACTAAAAAGAGCACCCACCTGTCACTCAAAGTGGCCACACTCTTAATTATGCATAACTTTAAGTCTTAATATAATTTAAACAGGTGAGTTGTATAAAAATGCACCCCACTACAGTTGTCATGAACAGGGAAATTAACTATAGAGACCAAAATATTTGTTTGTACCAGGCTATAAACAGGTTTATTTCTGCTGTAAAGTTGAGCATTTTAATATAGGGCCTTATGACTCACTTCTGGAGCCAGCCTCAACTACAGTTTTTGTGAGACTTGGTATAAGCCACTCCCAGCTAAGGGACAGATCAATCCCAAAATATTGATACTTCCTATACTTTTTTAAGATCAACCGTCAATCATCAGACCACCAAAAATCAGTTCTCTCTTCTGTGTTACCCATTTTTATTTAATCAAAAAAGCTTTAAAACATTTACTTTCGGCAACAAATAAATGTTTGCACTTTGTTTATTAAAAAAAATCATTGCACATTCACTTTACAACAATAATAATAATAAAAAAAGTATTAAAAGTGGAGCCTAAAATAAATGGCTTCATTCATTTATGTTGTGCTTTAAAAGTGCAACATAAATAAGTTTTTATGTGAAAGTCCTTTCAATAATAAAACATCAGTATCAATATCTGCAATTCTGGCCAGCAAATTTTGCAGTATTGCCAACCCCTCCACTCCCAATGGCGCTGGATGGATGCTTGTCTGCAGCAGACCCTGGAAGATCAGCAGCAGTCCACAAAAGGACTACAGACAACAACCCCAAATGTCAAACCAAAGCTACACATGTATTTCAAACAAGAAATGTTTATGGCCTGGGGTGTCCCAGAGTCCAGACTTCAGTTCAATCCAGAATATGAAGCACTTGAAAATGGCTTTAGTAAAAACTGGGAAAGCTGTGCCAAGGTAATAGATATCCTACCCCTATAGATGCAGGTGATCTAGCAGCGCCACATTACCGCGGAGGCAAGTTGTAGTGCCTGTGTGGCTGCAGCTGCCTGCCGAGAGTGACAGCAGCATGGGTAGTTGGATTGACAATGTTAAGCCCCCAGTTACTGATGAAGGTATCTTATATGGATGGTGATCTTTGCATTTACATATTAGTAAGACATTTGTTATGACAATAGCCAGAAATAGAGAGAAAAAGGAGCAACCGTCTGCTGTAAAGCATCATTAATATTACAGTAATAATATTACTTTCCCCAGTAACTAGTTACTTAACTAATACATTTCACTAATAATACAAAAAAAAACATAATTTGTCACAACATTTCATTTGTTGATGAATCGCTGAAAAACAGTGAGCTCCCCTGAAATCGTTCACACACTGTGCAGCCAGATATATTCCATTACTTTGATTTTAACAAACAAATCTCAGTTTTAATAGTTGTAAGTATGAATTTTGGGGGGGCAATTTGTTTAATAAACCAAACAAAGTAAGATCTCACAGCAACACTCACAAACACCAGTACGCAATAGCTTGAGTGAGTTTGTCCCTGCTTGAGAGTCACATTATCTAACACAGTTACACATCATCCTAAGTTCTGGGGCAACAAACAGAGTACAGTGTAGCGTGACGATGGTTCTTATCATGTCCTTGGAGATTTATCCTCAGCATTCTGCTGCTTACTTGGACATAAAGAGTAGATAAGGATACAGTTAAAGTTTGCCACAACTGTTGGAGCAGTTGGTAACTGCACAACTTCTTCCTCATTGTATAGACATAGTTGTAAAAGTAACAAATGTGCGCATACTGTAGGGAGACACAGTGATGGAGACTTGTTTATTTCCGATACGTCCCTGGATTTGTGTATAGGCTGCTAAAGGTGGCAGGATAACTCTCACCCAAATATGCTGGAAGCAGAAATGAGTATATGGTAAATGGTAAATGGACGTGTACTTGTATAGAGCTCTTTACTAGTCTTCCGACACTCAAAGCTCTTTTACACTACGTGGCCACATTCACCCTTTCACCACACATTCACTCAGTGATGGCCCATCGAACAGAAACTAATGCATTCATACACACTAACCTATAACTCATAGAGGTCTTGCATTACAACATATAACATTTTTATAGAATTGTATCATTATGAAATGTATCATTAAGAACAAGAATCAATGGAGATAGCAAGGAGGCTGTACAGTAGTAGTGTACTAATTCATCATCTTCTAGCTTTGTCTTATCTTTAGACTCTTTCTCACACACTCACTCACACAAATGAAAAGTCTCTCAAATCATAAGAGTCTGAAAAAATAAGTGATTTTAGGTTTTCGACATGGTATTGTAAGTAGTGTTGTGTTTGTAGCAGGTGTATAAATACAGCACACTCATGGAGCAACTCAATCTAAGTATAAAGATAGCCAGTTTGAAGAGAGCTGTCACATGGCTATTGTTGAGAATTGCCCACAGCTGCCTCCACACCACTGGTTACCAAGGAAACAGCATATTATGCTTACTAGCTTAGTAGTTTCCTCTTGACTTGTTACTTTGACAACAGGAATGTCAATTAGCTGTGCTCGCAAAGAAAAAGTTTGACCAGCCTTTGTTTGCCCACCTCATTTCTTGTAAGGGTGATTGGAGCTGCTATAACTAAAAGCAGTAACGGTTTCTATAAATCAACATGGTTTCTCATTAACAACTGCCCCCCTTTAGACATGCATTCCAACCTGATGCTACAGCAGGTCAACATGTGTGCTTTTGTATGCGGTATGGATGCTGTTGGTTGCAATCTGATAGTCAGTCGTTTTAAGATTTTAAAACTTGATTTATGATTAATGGAAGGAATGCTATCTCTTGATCCCCATTCTGTCCTCTGTGTTTTGCTCTTTCCTGTGTGATCCATACAGAGCTCACTCTGCCTGATCATATAACACACTGGTGACAGTTATGAACTTGAAATATACACCGATCAGACATAACATTATGACCACTCACAGGTGAAGTGGAAGGACACTGATTATAACGTTATCATGGCCGCTGTCAGTGGGTGGTGGTGTCCAGGTGCTTATAATGCTGATCGGTGTATATAAAATCACCAAAACATGTTAGAATAAAGAAAAGTAATAGCATGCATCTCGTGAAGAAGATGTACGTTTTGACATTAAAACAAAGTTTAAGGACAGAACAGTACAAAAACAGATACCCGGCTAGACATTTTTGGTTCTAAAAACATTCTGAGAAGATTCATGTTTTCAGCAGTAGGTTCCCAGAATGTTCTTCTTAAAAATGAACAAAAGTGGAACCCCATAGAGATTGCCAAAGCATCACAGCGTGTGTGATTTTAAGGGGCGTACTTTTTTTTTTTTTAAATATTGATTCCTTTGTATAAAGAAAACTAAATGAAATGGATCTAAACTTTTCAAGACCTGAACACAAGCTATATTCACAGAGCCTTCACTGTCAGAATGCGTCAGAATGAAGGAAACACTGAATTTGTCGAAAAAGAGGCCTATTAAGCATGTCTGATTGTTAAAAATTTGAAAATACACAATACAGACAGATTATTGTATAAAAAGTTCCTAAAAACATAAAATATCAATAATTACAGGAAATAATCTGCTCGAAATTCATTCAAATCACAAATTTTACACAAACTTTCTGCAGTTAGTTAGTTTAAAGTCATCTTCCTTGATTCATTTATAGTTTAAACTTTATTCTCAGAATTATTACTTTTCTTTTTCTATTTTAAACTCAGCAAAATATTTTTTTCACATGTGGCTCTAATCCTCTTCGGTACATAATGTCCAACAGCAGACTAACATAGAATAACAAGGAAATCTCCTCAAATGGACCATTCACAGTTTCCTGTTTTATTAAACTGATGAGATGTTGATTAATTGATAAATGTATGGCAATTACTTACTTATTATTTATGTCATATCTCTCTTTCTCTTCATGTTTCTTGTCTGCTTCTTCATACTGTCACCACAGGGATGTTGAGGAAAATTCCCAGTGGATTAAAGGATGTTCTACTATCCCCTGCCTTCCATTAGACACAATTAGCAGGAACATCTCAGCTTGTTTTTACTTTGTAAATGTTAAGGATTTGGCTCTACTGTTGAGGAAAAACACCATTTAGAGTCTCTCTTGTGTTTTGGAAATGAAGTCCATGGGACTTCTGATATGTCCACCACAACTCAGAGGAAATCCAAACATGATGCCCCCTGGAGATTCGGCAGAGGAATGTGGAACTGAACTGTATATAGTTTAATTGTGTAATAACAGTACATGCTAACCCTAACACTGGTTATACACTCTAAAAACAAATGTTTTGGCTCACCAAACAAAATGAATGCAGCAGGTTACATCAATCTTTTCCAGTTATGGCATTTTAAAATAAAGTTATGTTCAACAAATGTACTATATTGAGTTCGGGAATTAGCTTTTCCTCTACAATCAAAAGGTATTTTAATTACCACTTACTTAATAAGTGGAAGTTTTTACACTACACTATACTACACTGTAAAACAAAATTATTTAATCTAACTCAAAACATTGTGGAAACTGATTACATCTAACACATATATCTTTTGAGTTAAAATAACAGCACATTACAGTGCACTCATAAAAATGTAGTTGTTTCAACAAATTTTTCCATTGGGTCAACACAACTTATCAAAGGGTTATCTAAATCAATAGTTATAATGTTTATCTTGCAAGCATGCATTAAATTAAGTTGTGGTAAAAGGTTCACTGAATTACTTTCTACATTGTACGTAAATGATTCAATTCAATTCAATTTTATTTGTATAGCGCCAATTCATAACAGAAGTTTTT